TAATTTTATTTTTTAATTAAAATATAAATATTTATTTACGTGACATTTTTATTTATCTTTATACTATAAATATAATATATATAATTGTCATGTCATAAAAAAAAAATTAAAAGAAAATGTCAAATGAAATTATTTAATTGTCACGTCATATTTAACTGATGAAAGGACTAAAATTGTGTAATTTTTAGAGTTAAAAGATAAAAAAATAAAAAATAATAATTTAAGACCAAAAAAATGCAAACTTATAAAGTTGAGGAATCAAATTTAATATTTAACCTTTTTTTTTTAATTTTCCGCACGGGAGAGGGTGACATGGAGGGTGTCATTAAGTCCATGTAAGCATCTTTGACATGTTGGCATATCCACATCAATCGTTCCAATTAAAATTTAGGGATCAAAAAGGGGATTTTTTCAGTACAAGGACCAAAAAGGGGCTTTTTCCTATAGTAGAGGGACCAAAAAGGGTATTTAACCATATTTTTATAAATTAAATATCAAAATTTAAAATAACGATAGGATAATTTAATATTTAAAAGATTATATTTTTATAAATTGAAAACAAGTTTAAGATGGTCAATTTTATAAAATATCTATAATTTTTTTCCTTTTTTTTATCATTAAGATAATATTAAAAATCATAACAGTGTTTTAAGTTTAATATTATACAATTCATAGTACAAAAGACTTTTACAAGGGAAGAAATCATGTCTTCTAAGTATAACAAAAATGCAAAAGACAAATCAAAACGTTAGTGAGAAGAGAGAACAACAATTGATAAGTACTGAGAACTAGAAGTTTAAAATTGAAATTGTTAAAAGAGATTAAAAATATACATTTTTAGTCTCTCAACTTCTAATATATGCATATTTTTCATCCCTTCACTTTAAGTGGAGGGATGAAAAATATGCATATTTAAACAAACTCAATGGAATAATTGATAGAAGGATTAAAAAAATATATTTTTTATAGTTGATGGACTAAAAAAGTAGATCAAAAAGTTAAAAGATGAAAATTATGCAAAACATTGAAGTTGAAGATCAAAAATGAAATTTATACTTTTTAAATTTAAATTGATTAATACCGGCCAATTTTCAATGTACCAACTGGTACGACGAAATATTGGTTAGTATACCAAAATTTGATCGAAAATAGGTGAAATTTGATTGAAACGAAATTGAATAATGTATTATTTTGATTTAATGAAAAAACTGATACGTACCGACCGATACTATAAGGTCTCAATAACATTGATTTGAACTATAGTTTTGTCCTTTTATCTTAAT